ACGAGCATCAACCTGTTAACAATGACAGCAGTATTAACAACCGATGCACTGACAGATTCATGATGCCTGCAGTGTGGAGAACAGCCTTACATGAGCTCCAGCATCCAGAAGCAGCTTCACACACTGTGTTTGGCCCTGAATACAGGCCTCGTGGAGGGGTGTAATTGAGTCCACGGCCACAATGTTGACAGATGCTCCGTTCTCAATTAGTTTTTGGAGCTGCACAGCTCTGCCCTGAGCTGCGGCTTCATGCACTGCCGAACGATCGGTCCAGAACCCCAGACCATGTGCTGTGGGTAGAATGGAGAGACAGACAGAACTTCAAAACATAGCTTTAGATAGCTGTTATTGTAGATATAAATGATTTCCAAATGATGCATCAGTTACGTAAAGTGCAATTTATACATCATATATATATATATATATATATATATATATATATATAAAAAACAAAGGAATTTAATTCAGCTCAACACAACAACAAATGGGCAAGTTAGATGCTCTGTAAAAGTCTTGTTGTACTCCATTTAAAGAAGTGAAGGTGAATTACAGCATTCTGGGAAATCGAATTTAGGACATTTAACCATTTCAAACACATCATCAGTGTTTTTATAAGGGATGTAACAGTGTCATGTACCTGTCTGGTGTCTAAATTATCTTCTTATTTCATTGCACAGTAAAGGAACATTTCCAAAAGACACGAACAGGACAGTAAAAACTGACTCATCCATCTGTTGACTCAGGTCACACTGATCCAGGGCTTTAGGAACCTGCTAAGTGTCATTGGTGACTGATTCAAGGCCAAATGGCATGTGATCACACTACAGTTCTGGCAACAATATCTGTCATCGAGCCTTGCTCTAGGGCTAGGCAACTATATAAAAGCGTGTCATACAGTTACAGTGAACTCTGTCCTGCAGAGTCAAATGATTACCATACTGCTGGTTACTTGCAGTGTAACAAGTGTCATATAACAGGTCAGACATCTTACAATCTGCAGGTTACTTACCAATATCACCAAAAAGCGAAGGCCTTGTGCGCGTTATTTCAAATTCCATAATTTACTCCTATTTATAAGAGAATACAAGAGGAATATGTGCGTCATATCTAAACGGCATGAGTGCCAGCAGCCATAGTTTACAAACACTCGACCTGATTTCAGTTCAGTGGCGAATGATGCTGTAGTTGTAATAGATTAAGTCATGCAGGGGGCGCATTGTGGCTCAAAAAGACGAATTCTCGTTAAGCCGCAAATCTTTTTTTCGTCTTATTTTATACATTTGTCCATTAAAATCGTGATAGTTTAAAAAGGTTAATTTGAAAGACTGGTATCTAACATATATGTGAAGCCGCGCCAGCAGCTTCATCATTAGCGAATTATCAAACGTCTGTGTTTGGTCCATTTTCATCAGCGCTGAGAAAAGTAACATGTACCATGTGACAATGCGCGTCTACTTCGGCCATAATCTGAAGGATAATTTACCTCTGCATAATGTCATTCTTAAAATGTAACAGCAACTGAATTAGAAAAATTAAAATTATTTATTAAAACAGCATATTTATATTAACACCAAGCAGCTGATTGAGACCCATCGTGTCTTTTTTTTTATTGCATAACAAGAACAATAACAACATAGTATTATTAAATATTTGTTCAATCTTTTTATCTATTACATTTAAGTCTATTTATCTCTTTAAATCTATTTAACTTAATTTAATTCATCTATTTTATTTTAAATCTATTTAATTTAGTTAATTATATTTAATTAACATAGATGAAAACTTACAAAAAGTTCCAAAAAGAAAAGGATTCAAAAATTCTATACATCCGTTTCGCTTTTTTATTTCTTCCATCTTTTAGGCCGGGCCTCAATATAATGCTTAAGTTAAATTTTAAATAATATAATGTTAGGTTTATTATTATTCCATTTCTGTTTGTGTACATGGTATTTTCCATATATAATTATTAAGTTAATCAACAAATTTTGCTCCAAAATCTTATTTTTATATAACAAAAATATATCTTTACCAGACAGTCGAATCTTTAATTTTGTGAATTTGAATATTAGATATTCAATGTCAATCCAAAACGATTGGGTAAATACACATTCAAAAAATAAATGTTTTATGGATTCTTCTTCTGAATTACAAAAGACGCATGTAGTCTCCATGTCTCTAAAGAATCTTGAGACTACTTGTCTCACTGGATAAATCAAATGAATAACCTGATATGTAATTTCTTTAACTTTATTGGTGAGGCAGTATTTACTGGGTAAACTCCAGACTTCTTTCCATTCAATCTGATTAAAAATAAAAGTTCCAAAAAGGTTTGCATTTAGGCAATACTGTAGTTCTACATAATTTTTTTATATAAAAGTTATTAAAAATTTGTATCTATAATTTTCACACCATTAATACTTAACTGATCAATATATAAGGGAATAGGCTCAGAAGATATATTGCCTGATAAAAGTTGAATAAGGCCACTAGGAATGGCATCAAATACTACTGCAAACTCCTTAGCAGTTAGTTACAGGGATCTTATAATGATTCAGGAACTCACAGTAATTAAAGAGCTGTCCATTATTCTTAAATAACTGCCTCACCAACATTATACCATTGTTGTACCAATTTCAGTAAAATAAAGATTTTTTTTTTAACTTAATATATTTGTTGTTCCAAATCACAGAGTTGTGTGGAGAAAAGTTATGCTTAAAAATGAGCAT